GAAAATGTCTACATTGTACATTAGCAATTGAATGACACAAAAAGAAACATCTACCAAGCATAAATATGATCTAAATAAAAATAAGGGGAAAACATTGCTTTTGATTTATTTAACTAATTTCTGAACACAAACTAGATATTGATAGTTTATAATATTAAACACTAAAGATTATTGATAGCATTTATTTAAATCATTTTATCTGTTATTTTTGATTGCTCTCACAGATTTAGTCCTCATATCAGTATTCCAAATATCTAAATTTACTCATTCTTGCTTACACTTGGTGAAACTTCTATTATGGGTAATTACTGTCAATTTTGCTATTGTTGCAAAATTGCAGTATTGATTTGTTTTATTTTTAAATGGTCCTCTTTTTATATGTTGGGCCAAAATTGATATTGCAGCCATTAGCATATACAATATCTTAGTGAATTATTATATTTTTATTTATGCTTTATGGAATTATAGCTAAGAGCAATATTTCTGGTTTCAGTTCAAATTTGAATATTTTGAATTTTTCTTTCCATTTTTTTACATAACTATCACATGTGATAAAATGTTCCATTGATATATGATGTCCTAACATTTATTGCTATATGATATGTTTGTCTTGAACTTTTATAACCTTTTCCATTATTGTGCTAATAATTGTATTATACTTTTTTAAAAGTTTTGCATGCCTTTATTATGCCATCATATGAAATTTATATAATTTGTACTAACAATTTATTTGTTTGTCCTAATAAGTGATCTTGGTTTCATATATACTATTTTAAAATCTGTCATTATTCTCAATGTCACAAAATCTGTCATTATTCTCAATGTATAAATTCTTACTTTGTTTTATTAGAAATGTTATATTTCTGTACATTTTTGGTTATGCTTCTGGGTCCTTTTTGTTTAATGTACTTGACAGATATATAAAAACTTAAAACAAATTTAGTAGCAGAAATGATAACTGTGAGTACTACTACTACTACCTTTTGTTTTTCTTTATTTTTTGCCAGTTTGGTGTAGTAGTTAATGCAATAGGCTAGAAACTGGGAATGATTGTACAATTAATGGATGAAAAATGTTTGTTCTAAATGCCAATTATATAATCATTCTTCCTTAGTTATATTAAATATTAGTTAGTAAAATAAAACATTGACTAATATGAAGGCCATGCAAAATATTGATTTATAATTGAGACATATTTATTTATTTATTATTTGTACCCTACCTTTATTATTTTTACAAATTTATAATCCACTTTGTTCTAGAAAGCAAGAGATAATGACTTGAAGTCCCATCATAGCCATCAAAGTCAGTTGGGTGACTCTTGGGCCAACTCATCTCGCAATATAGTCTGCCTGTCTGTATCTTATCATTTATCTCCAATTCTTAGAGATTCCTGAATAAGTTCCTGCAGGTTTTTGGCAAGTTTTTAGAAGTGTGGCTTTGCGCCTAAACGTGAAACTAGAATTCTTGGTTTCTAGCCTGATGCCATAAGCACTGCATCAAACTATTGATTTGGTTTTCTTTTCTTGCAGTTTGAGAAAAGCAATCTGTTCTGAGTGCTGATGAAGCAGGGGTAAAATGTGTTAGCAATGCCTCTACATATGCTACTGTAAAATAATAAGTTGAGTTGCTTCAATATCTCCAGTTCCCATAGCAAAACATATTTCCAATATGGCTCTTGTAATGTTTTATTGTAATAGTGTCAAAGGCAAAATAACAGGCCTCGGCCAGAAAAAGAAAAGGTCTCCTTAATTCTGAAAATGTAGGTTAGAAAGTAGCTTGTCACTACTCAAAAGCTCTTTGCGACTCAGATCCTGCTTCCTTGTGCCAAGCCATTTGCCTCCATATATAGTACAATATTACTGAGTGTTATAATGCATAATGCTGAGGTCCAAAGTGAGCACAAAATAATATCTTATCTTGAAGAAGCTGAAAGATTTCAGAACTTCAAAGGAAAAGCCATCCATTCTCTTCCCTTTGGCCGGCAATTAAGTATTTTTCCCAAATCCATAAGAACATGCTATCCACATAAATTATTATTGATAATTTCCTTTTTTAATTTCTTTAATAGATTTTTGGGATATCTCTAAAAATCTAGAGGTGGTGAGCTTTCTTCCATGAACCTATTTCAAGAAGAAGAAAAATATTTTTTGGGAAGTAATGCTTTTTGCTTTTTCTGATCTTCAGATTCTTCATAAATAAGGTGACCAGACTTTCAGATTGGTAAAGAGGGACACCTTTGATGGCTTGGCACAAGG